GTTCCCGACCGCTGACTTGCACAATTATTCATGGACGAGCTTCCTATGACACCGATACAAAACATGAAATAACATTTTTTGAAAACCCGAGCACCGGGAGAAAACCACATAGAGAAGGGCGTCTACCTCCGACGATCCAGTGGCAAAATCCACTCTCCTTCTCTCCTCCACCATTTTTTTTTTGAAAACCCGAGCAACCTGGAGTAAAACGCAATTCAGAGAAGGACGTCTACCGTCTACCTCCTGACGATCAGGTGGCAAAATCCACCCCCCGTCTCCACCATTTTCCTTTTTAAAAACCCGAGCACCGGGAGAAAAATCTCATGGAGGCGTTTACCTCCTGAAGAGGCGATGGAAAAATCCTTGAGGCAAATATCCTCGAGGATGACATTATCCTGCCCAAGAACAATCTTTTCCTTCTCCAGGACTTCCTTTTCCTGCCCAAGGACTATCTTTACGTCCTGGAGAGCCAACTTTTCTTGCCCCAAGAGCATATTGTCCTGGCCCAGGGCGATATTTTTCTGCCCCAAGAGCATATTGTCCTGGCCCAGGGCGATATTTTTCTGCCTCAAGAGCATATTTTCCTGTTCCAGGGCAATTTTTTTTCTCCCCTAGGACAATCTCTTCCTCATCTAGAACCTTCTTTCCCTCCTCCAGAACCTCAATTTTCTGTTCCAAGAACATTCTTTTCTGTTCGAGAACGTTCTTGTGTTCCTCCAGCTGCGTTGTCTTGGCCTGCTCAGCATGGAGGGCAATAACCACGTTTCGGTGTTCTGCCAAGTGAATCTCGTACTCTTGTGTAGAGTTTGTCTGGATCTGTTGGAGTTTGGCCGCCTTCTCTGAGAAGTGGTGCTCAAGTTCAAGGTTGTTTGACTTGATCGCCCTACTTACCAGAAGCTGCATTTCTGCTTCACGGATCTTCAAACATCTTTTTGACATCTTGAAGACTCTTTCAGACTTGAGATCTCTGACGCTTGACTCATAATGGTTTGTTGAGCCGCTGTCATATCTGCGTTCTCCAGATTACTTGGCCCTGGAGCAACCGTTTGGTTGGCGGCACGCTTCTTCCAAAAACGCATTTTATTGGAAAAATCCATTGTATTGTTTTCAGTTTTTTCTTTTTTGGGAGAATTTCTGTCTTTGTCCTTCCTTTTCTGTGTAAATCTTCTGTGTAAATCCTCTGTGTAAATCTCGAACGCTTATCTCCGTAGGTGTTGGCTGAAGTGTGATGTGTACTTGTGAGTGAGCTTATGTGTACTGGAGATCCAAGGGGCTTGGCCTAAATCATTCCATTGATGATGTCATCAAAGCCGCTTCCATCGATGATGTCACAGGGGGAGTGACAATATCGAGTCGCAGGATGGGAGAATATATTTTTTTTATGTTTATGTTTTTAGTTTATTAATTTTAGTATTTAGTTTGAGATGTAAATTCTTATTTCTTAATTAATTTAATTGCAGGTCTATGATAGTCGTACCGGCTTTCTCTTGTACTGCCATATTATGTTTTATGGTTCGCTTGGTCTCGTCCTGCGATTTACAGAGTTTGGTCACTAATGCTGTTAAATTCTGGGTGGTGTGGCGCAAATCCCGGATCTCCTTTAACAACTCGCCATGTCGGTCATTCTCTTCGGCATTCGGTACAACCAGCGCAGCGGCCTCTCTGCTCACCTACAGCCTTCTGGTCTCGTCTCCTCTCAGGTCCGATTCGAGGGCCTCAACACGGCGTATTAAATCCTCATCGCTCATCAGGTCGTCGTATCTTGAGGTAAAAAGTTCCAGCTCTTCATTCGGTATAGTCCACGCCGCCAAAGGCTGTCTGCACAATAATAAAAGAAAGTGTTTAAATATATGCACATAAGCTCAAACTCAAAAATATGTCTTGATTGATACGTACCTTTTAACATTTTGTGTGTTTAACCTTTTGAGTGTGTTTACCACCTCGTGCCTGTTTTGGAGGAAACTATAGACCTGTGTAAAAATGTTTTTATATAACACAAGTTATATAAAGTGGATAGAGATATTATTACTCCCCTGGTGTCCTGACGGGTGGGAGCTAACGCAGGCCTTTTTATTGGAGGTTTAAACACCGCGGGGCCTTCTGATGGATACCACAGCCCTGAGTAGAAAACAATTTTGAATGTTATATAATGTAGATAAAGACCTAAAATGTTGCTATATCGGCCAATAATAACTTCAATACCTCCCCACGTATCCTTGGATGTGGACTCTATCGCAGGCGTTTTTATTGTGGGTTTAACCCACTTTGGTCCTTTTGGAGAACACCCTGGAGAATATTTGACAAAAGTTCTATAAGTAGGTGAAAGGTCTAAAATGTTATATCATGCTGTTCACGTCCTTACCATCCAAGGACGGCTTACTTGTTGAGGGTTGTGGTAAGCCACTCAATGCTTCGAGTTGTTTTTGTATTTCTTGAAGGTGTCTGCAGGTCTGTTTCCACGCTTTTTGTAGTAAACCTTCCACAATCTTTAGGATCCTGGCTGCAGTCGCTTTCTAAAAGATATATGCATACATGTAAATACAATTTAAATACGTTCAGATGGAGAAAATGAAACAATTATAAAAGTTTTTACAAGACTACAAGAGTATCTAAAACTCTCTGTAACCACGTACTGCAACAAAGTTGTTTAAAAATGTCCCCAAATACCTAAAAAGATGCTTTTGTGTGGGGGTGGTTACATACAGCTATTGGGCCCCGGGTATTTTCTGGTCAAAATGTGTCTGCTCAACCTGTCTGTTGTTTGTTTCTGATAATGCTTATGTGACTGGTCATCCTGTCTCTAATCCATTTTATTGTTTTATTACTACTCACACAAACCCTTCAAATGCAAGGTTGTGACCCCCACTTCTCACACGCACACACACACACACACACACACACACCTACATGCGCTGCCATAGAAAGTGCTGACACATTAACCCCCCATACACACACGCGCAATATTGTGCACGCGCATCCGCCCATCCCCCTTATTGTTCGTATATATTCATACTACTGACATGAAATACATGCTACTCGGTTGCTATAGGAGCGATGTAAGTACTCCACGCTACAAGAAATCCCAGTTTTTCTCTCTTCTGGTAACCTTTCAGTATTACTCAATAACATCGTCCAACACAGAATACAGAATATAGTTAATTTAGTTTTTGAACCATGCTTCACAATGTAATGCTAGAATAGGCTTTACATGAAAATAACATTGTTGCTGACACAAAACAAAACAAAAAACCCTCTAAATTTGAGCAACTGAACCGCAAAAAAATCCCTTCATTTTATAAACTGCAGCACTGTAAATCTGTATAACAAATATATAAATCTGTATCTTTGGTCGTTATATGAAACAGTTACTACACAAACCCACAATGACCTCGGGGTAGATACAGAGAGACCAGATGTTAAGCCAATGTCAAACGAGGGCACAGGGGGGAGTGTGAGTGGGCCAATTAAATACATTTTGAATATTTACAGAACTTGAACTGAATGAATAAGTCCAGCAGCAAATTCAACAGTGCTAATCTTTGAACAGCAGCCAGAACTGACTAATAAACCGTGAGCACATAATTAAACTGCCTCGGACAGTCGCGTCTGTAGCTCTCATTGTACGGTGAAGTTAATAAGTGTCTAAGCCATTTGCTGCTTCTGGGAGTTTGTACGTGTGCAACAGCAACTCAATGAACGAGACAGTATTGCTTAATTAAGCTTCACAAGGCTGCTAATGTTGAGCTGTCTACACACACACACACACACACACACACACACACACACACACACACACACACACATCAGAGAGGAGAAGAAAGCATATTACTCCGGACAATGGACTATTATATTCTTAGCATGGCTCTATTATCAGGAAAATAGTAAGGTCGTTTTTTGGCGGCAATAAGCCGGGCGATGACAAATGACCAGGAGGTAAAATGAGATATTTAATGTGGTTTCAGTGCGTCTCACTACTAGACTGAAGAGGAACAAAAACCTAGTGAGAAATCCAAGTCTTCCACTGCCATTGTCAGAACTTATGCCAACCTTGCAATTAGACTGAGATCAAAGAACATCTTATCTGCAATCTGCTCGACTGTACCATCAATTGTCTGTGTGTTGAAATATTTATCCATGCTTACAAGACCTCGATGACCCCTGGACTTTTCATCTAATGCCTCCAAGTTTAAAATGTATGGTTCAGTGAGAAATATCTTCAAATATTTTAACTATTAAATAGATTCAAAGGCTCAAGAAGATAGCTGGAGTATCGCAAAGACGGCGTGATATGTTGTGTGGGGCAACACCAGAACCTGCCACAATAAAATCACTTTAGCTTACCCCGGATCTTTTTTCTGGTATCCAAAAAAACGCTGTCCAGGTTGTATTTCTTAATATGGGCACCAGGGATTTGTGTGTATATGATTACTAAAGGTGTGGGCACCAAAACTGGGATGTGGGCAGCTTCCTGGTGCCTCTTGGTGCCAGGAGACAGTCTGCCCACCCTCTCTGCTGAATAATGTACCGAGTGGTGAGCGGTGTGGGTGGCAGTGAGGGATGGCCTCTCCTCCAAATAGACACCGGTGAAGAAACGGAAGGCTTCAGATGCATATACACTCACTCACGCTTATGAAACAGTGTGTGATTGGTTCCCCGTGTCTGCACTCATTTAGAAAACAGCTGCAGTTTGTGCAGAATCATCACGGGTGTTTTAATAACAAAATATGTCAAGAAGACAGGTTGAGGATTAGCCCCAATTTAAAAAAAAGAATTACTTTTAATGGGGTGTCTAACAGCTAAGAGAGGCAGGCAAATTGTGTATTCATTTGAATGTGTGTTCTTTTGCAGATGTTCTGCTGCATCACTGGACAGAACGGAGCAGGTGAAGCATTAAACAGCAGCCTGCTGCGACACTGCCCCTGGTCACTTCCTCACGCTATCTCTCTCCCTGCCCGTGTGTGTGTGTGTGTGTGTGTGTGTGTGTGTGTGTGAGTGTGTGTAACCTGAGCACAGAGCGTCCTAGCTCTTCAACAGGGAGTCAACCAAACTCCAACTTTCTCTGGGCAGTCAGCGTTCAGCACTCGGCCACGACGGACAGCAGAACGACGGGAGCAAACATCTGGATCGCAGAGAAATTGCTCGCACGCAAAAGATCAGTGGGCCGTTATGAGTAGCCCGTGGTGACACGATATTCGTGGGCACGTTTTAGGAGGCATCGGATTTCCGTGCAACACACAGGCTCACTGCGAGGCAGCGGCGTGCGCGGTTTCTATTTTTAGAAACGCGGGAGAGGAATCAATCAAACTGCGACTTAAAGCGGTGTTTTTGTGACAATCGGCCGCTTTTTGCTGCTGCAATCTTCCGATGCGCGCGTCTGCGTCACCGGGAACTGCATGTCACGGCTTTTTATCAGCCTGGTTTCTGATGCCAAACGGTGCCTTTTTTCTCCAATGCCGCCCAGGAATGCGCACCGCTGGACCTCAAACTTTTGCGTGATGGAATCCGCTGCGCTCGACGGTGACAGCGGCCGCATTTCTTCCGGCACCTCGTGCACTTTCGCATCTTATCCCAGGTGTTAGAATTACCAAAGAACACTGCAGTTTGGGACGTGAATGGCAAGTGCTGTTGAACGACACAGAACCGAGGAGGAAATCGCCGGGGCGCATATAACGCGTACTTTCTATTAAGTTCCAGCGCGTCCTTCTCTCCGGCTCCCATGGGAATCAAACACTCGTCCCGCTGCATGCTGCTCAGGAGAAAAATGGCGGAGTCAGAGAGCACTGAGGTGAGTGTGGGAGAGACACCTTGTGCGTTTCAAAAGACAGAAACGAGAGCGCTCTGGCAGCGGGTTTGCCTTTAAGTAGTAAGTTGCATCCCGGACAGAATGCGGATTTGGTCCGGATAGAGAGACAGCAGTCCGAGTGTATCAGTATAGGCTTCGTCCCAAGGGTGTTCATATCTCCGCAGAGACGCACGTGCGAGTGACCATTTCCGACATTTTTTTTTTTAGTACACAAGAATAATGCTTAATTATAATGTTCTCTATTTTTAACCCTTTAGCTCCAAAGGTTAGAGTGATCCGCGCTGTGATCTCACTTTTAATGTGAGAAAGGACAGTGGACGGGACGCTGGATCTGTCCTCTCCTCCTCCCTCTTATGCCCCACTTTGTCATCTAAATATACAATGTTCAATGCAATCGCGTGGAAATGTCCCGTTTAAGGGAGGACGATGCTGTGAGGGTGGTGATGCTGCGCGGCGCTGTCCAAGGTGCTGCAGCGCCTGGCAGAGCAGACCGAACCGCCCGAAGTCCACTGAGACGTTTGGAGCAGCTTCCGGTGAAAAAAAAAAAAGTAGGCTGAGCCGAAGACTCGATGTCACCTTGATGTGACCTGTCTACATTATTTTCTTCCTGGTTGGGCCCTCCAATGGGGATCCCAAGGATGCAGGAAATAGTACCATTTGGGGCCGCCTCAAAAATGCACATAACATGACGGATTCATGTTTTTAAGGTAAAAAAACAATGGTTTCTTAGGTGCAATGCCACATCTGGATTCCCCATGTGACTGCTAAGAGAGCAGTGCTGATACAAAATGCTGAAAAGATCCAAACACCCTGTGAAGTTAGAGACGGCCTTGTGTTGCTTTTATGATTACGCATCAAAAAAGGTTAGCTCAAAGCAACTTCCTCCGGGGGGGAGAGGATAAACACTTTTTGTTGATGCACCAATGTGTCAGTGCAGCAGGCACCTGATACATTGCGATAAGAGGACGCTGGATGGATGGATGGATCTCTGCCTTCCTCTGCTCGCTGCGGTTTTGGAACGTGTGTCTCAGAGGCACCTAAGTGCCGTAATGGCAGAGGACCAAACAGATTGTCTTCCCTGACATTGATTCTGATTTCCTTTTGACTCTATCACAGTCAAAAGCCCTTCCTGCTATAGGTCATTATCGCCTTTAAGTCATCTATCCAGTCAGTTTTATTTCTGGATATGCATTAAAACACCAATTTCCTATAGAGCATTTCACACATATCCCCTTACAGACGTTATCACTGACTTCCAGACTAACAACCATCTTCAACAGCCAAACAAGTACAAAGACAAAAGTGCCAATTGAATGTCCTTCTCAAATAACAATTCTCACCTCCGTGGTGGTGAGAACCAATCTGAAATATATTGTAACCCTGTGTGTCTCAGTTACACTCACTGCAGCTGTTCTCCTCTGAACGTACTGCACCCAAAATCTATTTTAATCTTTCTTTGGTGGCCGTAATGACCGCTTATTTGGCCCCGGCTTGTAGGTATTGACTATTGGATTGCTTGGAGACGGCTCTTGAACACATCCTGCGTTTTGTCTTCCTGTGTTTTAATTTGTTTTCTGCATTATTTAGGAGTTTGCGCCTCTTGTGACGGGAACCACATGACTGCAGGGCAGTGGCTAAATAGAAACAATAGTCATTTCAGATTATACAAATGAAATAATACTTCCAACAGTTACAGTTAAGTGTCCTTGATGACACGTTGTGCAAATGCGAATTTAAATTTAAATTAGGGATTAAAGCATCTATTCGGTAAATGGCGTGTGGATGTGGCAGCTGCAGCAAGTAGACTGGCACTCAACACGTATGGTAGCAGAAGGCTAACTGGTAGCTATGAAATGAGCTCTCATTCACAGTGCACGAGAGTCCACAGCCATGCTCTCTTTTCCAGGAGCTCACTGATCATTCCGATCATGACCATGAGCATCACTGGAGCAGTCGGGGTCTTGCTCAAGGGTGCCTGTGCGGTGGATATGAGGGCGGGGCAAGTGCAGCTTTTCGTGTTCGACATACATCCGACTAATCCCAGCTGACCTGACAACCCTCCAGTCACAAACCGTTGGTTAAGTCCTTATATGCTTTAGTGCAACTGTGTGAGCTGTCACTGTGTCCCTGGCATTTACACGCAGCAGGAAGCGAGAGGACAAAGATAAATATGATGGCCATCTGAAAGGGAAAGATACAGGAAGGAGGAGCATGATTGACTCCCTCAAACAAGGAAAAATTGATGTCACCGATGGATATCTTGCTTTAATTCCACAAGATCCATGTTCCACACAGCGCTGTTGCTGTAAGTCACAGTGTGACCTCATCCGTTATCCTCATACATTATGTTAAAGGACACATGAGTGAAGTAAAGTTATAATTAGAACATTTAACTGAAATTGCTTCGAATCATAGCTGGACGTACATCTCATCACCTCAACAAAGCAGAAAAAAAAATTCATCCACCTCGCCAACTATTTATCCTTTATTGTTGGAATGAGTAAAAACGCCAGAACCTTCTGGCTCAAACCTGAGATCATGGGAGGCCGTTACTTCATACACACACAAACCCATACACACTCACACGGCAGCCAGATCTTCCCAGCTGGCCTCGGAGGTGATTATCGGGGCATTACGAGTGCACCGTCTGTGCAGAACAGAGCCTTCTCCTCATCTCCGCCTTCTGTTGACACGCCGGCTGACTTCTCCTCAGTGTTCAGAGCATCACCGTGTCTACGAGTCGATAGATCTTCTCCACTCCACGGTTGAGCTGAGACAGATGACAGCAGACAAAATGATTAAGGGAAACGGACGGCGAGACAAGACCGCACCCCGCACCACGTCGGGCAAAGGAGCTGCTGCATCTGTGCATCCGCTCTGAGTCCTCTGCCTCAATTGCATGTTTTTTTTTCCCGATTTATTCCTCTCTTTTTAGCAGCCACCGCCTCGGCCCGTCCGCGTAATTCCATCCCAGTCGGCGCAGCCCACCTCGCTGCCCAAGCCGGTGCCTTCCATCCAGCAGGCCTCGCGGTCTCCTCTGCCTCCACACACGCCGCACGCTGCCAGTCTTTCTAGTTGTGCCGGGCGGGGGAAGACGTCTAAGTTCCTCAGCCCAGAGGACATGACCTCGCGAGACTACTACTTTGACTCTTATGCCCACTTTGGTATACATGAGGTACGCAGGGTTTTTTAAACCTCTTTTCTTGTTCTTGTGTTAATTAGCCAGATGTGAGACATGCATTTTGAGGAAATAGTCTCTGGACCAAAAGGTGGGAACAAAATGTTTAGTTTGCACAGTCCTGATTGTATTTCCATCTCAGGCATCAGGACATCGGTCTCACTCTTGCAGTTCAGTTAATACTCACCCTTGAAAAATGAGTACAAAAACGGTAAACCCAGCTCGGTATTTATTTGCAAATTCTTGCATATAAAGTCATGAATAAATCGTTAACAACAAACTCATATTATATATATTTATACTGCAGTGCATTACAACTTTTAGGTGCTGCAAAAAAACCTTTTTCACTGTTGCAGCTTGACTAAGACTGAAATAAAGTAAAATACGAGAAGAAACCAAAAGGGACAACACCGATGTTTAGTAGGAAGTCTGCTTTATATTTTGCATCAGCCAAAGCATGTATATAAATAGAGAATCATAAAGTATCATAAAACAGTTGCTTTCGACTTACTGACTTTTTTGCAAGGCCGTATCTATAATTGATAATAAACACACTTATGCGTTTCCCAATTACACTATTAATGGTTACAACACATTCACATATTTCCATTGAGGATGCTCAGTCCAAATTGTCTTCACACGGATTTTGGCCAAAGCTCGCAGTACACATTCGGTCTGAGGATTAAAAAGACAAATCAGGCAGAAGAAACCCCACCTCAGTGAGACGTTGTTTTAAGTAACAGCAAAAACCAAAGTAACGTTACAAAAGCACAGAACGCCAGACAGAATGATTATTATCGACAGCGGCCGGGCAGAAGCCATCAGCTGGCCCTCATAGTTGCTGCCGCTCGGCTAAAATTGGTCTCTATGTTGTTTGTCCATGACGTTTGCTTCTCCTTTTTTCTTTTACTCTTCTTAGCCGTCATCATTTCAGAGGTCTCCCATTGGACTTTTTAGTGATCACATGTAACATTTAAAAAAATGAAACTGAGTCTCTCAGCTTCCTCCTGCCCCAGACTGCCCCAACAACCTATAACAACTAGATGCTTCATGTCATACAAGGTTAGAACCATGGTTTGGGTTACAGTCAGCCAATCCCATCAAAGGACATGAGATCTGAACCCTTTCTGGGAGAAATGTCTCCCTTAAGCAAAGCTTGGCTCTGCTTTAAGGTCTAAGCTTGACGCCGAATGGTTGAGGCTTTGTGCGACCTTCTTTATATATCTGTCATTTTTAAGAAAAATATGTCTCCATGTATCTCATATCCTTTCATGGATGAAATTATGAATTGCATTGAATTGGGGAAATATGTCAGATGAATCTATAATGTTAGTTAGTAGGCCAGATGCATTTCTTCCTGGAACGTCCATGGATGCACGTGGGAAGAAATGGCGATGGACTGAATCTGGAGCCTCATGGGAATAATTCGGTGACAGCAACCATGGATTTTAATATAGAGCCACACGGCGAAGACGCAATATTGTGTCAGATGGGGCGAAGGCTGTGTGCTATTTGAACCGCTCCACGGCAGATATCACAGCAAATCCAGACCGCCATGTTCAGCCATTGTTTAAAATTCAACCCATCACATTTTCACACCTGCGCGTGGCTTATCTGTGTCAACCTCCTCCTCAAACGATCTGTCGTGTGGTTAACCAGGAGATGCTGAAGGACGAAGTGAGGACGCTCACCTACAGGAACTCCATGTATCACAACAAGCACGCCTTCAAGGACAAAATCGTGCTGGACGTCGGCAGCGGGACGGGGATTCTGTCCATGTTCGCGGCCAAGGCGGGGGCGAAGCACGTGTACGGGGTAAGATGTGTTGAACGTCGGGCCGCTTAGAGTCTTTGGAGGAATATCTCGTCTGAACGGCAGGTGACGAAGGAGTGTTGCCGCTCAGGGAGGTCGAGAGGCATTTAGAGAGCTCTTTCTGTTGTTGTGTGCAGAACTGATTGGTAGTCACGGCACAACTGGAACTGCCGGGAGACTTCATCTGAGTTACTGTTTGAAATAATGTTTTTACGCGTGACTTTGCCTCGTATTCCATATTTGTTTTCCCTCCCTCGTGCGGTCTCAGTCAGTTCCTTTTATTCCTCTCTTGGTATGCTTCATGCTGCGCCACATACTTGCTTTACTCTCGCCCGTCTGGAAAAGCGGTATCAACATAAGGGGGGCTAAAATGTGGGGGATTTAGTTCACCTATGACTTGGATGCTCGTGATAATGTTGAATGGTGATAAAAAAAATTTTTTTTAATTGATGTTAAAGTAAATATCAGCTTTAAAAGAGCAGGCACTGGCAGGAGAGCAATATTCAAGATTTTAAACAAACAGCAGCAAGTTTAACAAAAAAAAAGAGTGCAATTAGTCCATATACTTGAATAATTCCTGATATTAAACTATGGACAGCAGCTTCAGTCCATCAGCCCACGCAAGCAGATTGTAAACCGTCTACACGGCATGTAGTCACCGAGGGTCAATGTAGACTGGAGCTGCAAGCAGATCTGTCAGGGACCAAACACCCAAAACTGAAGGAAAACCATGGTGGAACTGGGCTTTAATGGGCGCCCTGATATGTTTAGGATTCACAGCACAGTGGGAGGATCTCATCCAGCCTTGGATCACACAGAGTCAATAAATGATGCATCTCATGCATGAGTGAAACTGTAGATTAGGTGAATGCTCTTTGTATTGCAATTGAAAATGCGATATCTGCCTTATAAAAAAAGGATATGAAATGATGAAGCCAGTTAGAGAGAGAATAGTTTAGATTCAACAACTACGTCATACACATTAATAGGGGCCAAATGCGTGAAGGTGTGTTGACCGCGAACGCGCCTGGAGGCCTCCGTGCTCTCGCTGGAGCGCGACTCTGATGGACGCGTGGACGAGGAATCGTTTGCTGGTTAGGAGGCTGGCCGCTGTTATCGCAGCTGGTGCCACATTGAAACAGTCCGGTTTCTAGTGGGCGGGTGGGTGCCATCAGCAGCCTCTTGACCAGCACACGGCACTTCCCTGCCCGGCCTCCCGGACCGGGGAGGGCTGGTCAAGTGTCAAAGCTCAAGCACCCTGAGCGGTGCAAACAGAAGACCTCGGCTATAGAAGCCAGGGTTACGCTATGACAACAGGACAAACACATACATCCTTATTTGTCCATCTTTGGTGTGCAGCTATACAGCACAACCACTTCCCTGCCACTAAAAACAGCAACTTAATTCTCTATGGGAGTCTGATGGAACAGCTGAGTGCTTTTTCAGCCTCCTCCCGGCGTGGGTTGGCTCTTTTTTTTCTTCTCTTTTTTTGTTTTACAATTCACAGCACCAAGAGTTCATTCGGGAGTTGCCTGCTTTATTGCAAACAGATGGATCTCCCCGCAGCAGGAATAAGTTTGCACATTTCTGACAAATCCCAGTCCCCGGGGAGGTGGAAAAGGGCTCGCTGGAAATCTATACGCCCGGACTCCCCGATGCTGAAAAGAGAGCAGTATTGACAAATGCCTCCTCCTGATTTATGTTCTCATGCTGTTAGAGGGTTGCTTTCCAGAAGTTCCGAGAGGGTTTATCCTGATGAATGAAGAAGGCTTTATTATGTTACATCTCTGCTGTTGCTGGCACCTCGAAGAATCAGCCATTAGTGGGTGAAGGAAGTACAAAATGTTTCTGATGGAAAACACATTTTGCAAAATGTGACGGATATGGGTGTTCCGGGAGGAGGGGAGAAAAAAGGCGTAGGTGTGGAGGATGAGTTAAAAGAATTTAAAATGTCAAAAGACTAATAAAACTAGAAGTGGAACTGGAGCTAAACGACTGCGTCCAGCCGCGTAGTGACTAATCTTCACCCCAATTACTTAAAGCAAGACGCCCCGGCAGCGTCACAGGTCACCTTGCAAATTCCTTCCCGGCTTATTGTTTGATCTTCCACAACCTCAGACACCCCTTGCAAAGCTAAATTGACCTCAGTGCACAATGAGGATGAACCCTCCCTTGTTAGCTTCTGCTGCCGGGCTTATTTTGTGAAATAGAATCAGTTTTCTTATCCGCTTATTCGCGGGGGGGCTGGAGTCAATCCATGCGAACATTGAGCGAGAGACGAGGCCGACAGAGACAAACAATCCTTCACTCACACATTCACAGGGGCAAAGCGGAGTCGCCAACTAACCCCTGCAAAGCCGGAGTACCCAGAGAAGCTTGCACAGGCACGGGGAGAACATGCAGTCTGCACATAGAAAGGCTTCTGAGTGGTTTTGGACCCAGGACATTCTTTCTATGAGGAGACATCAGTGCTGACCACTGACATTTCTCCCCAGAGACCCATCTACCCAGATCTCCACTTTCAAATCTGTTTGCAAGCGCTGTGGCATTCAGGACTGCAAAGGATGCCCAAATAGAGGTTATAAGCAAAGATGAGCTTGTTTGCTACGGAGATAAATTCACCATGTGCTATGAGACCTGTCTCTACTCCAACGAGTATTAGAATTTTATTGTGATAAATCCCTGGATAGATGGAGCAGCCGGATCAACAACGAGTCGTCGCTCTTCCATCTTCTAAGAAGAAAATATGTGAATCATCTTGGTGATATATTAAAACATTATCTTTAGCAGTGGTGGAGAGTACGTTTCCCACCGCTGTTAGATATTGGTTTCCAATCTGTTAGACTCGCAGCCTCTCATGACCCTAATCTGTTAGTTCCCAATTAGAAAAACATCCGACTAAAAGCGAGAAAACTATTTTGTGAAGCAAAACGTTTTTTTTTCTTTTCCTTTCCACCTAATTTGTTGACCCAAATGTAACAAAACATCTGGATAAAGGTGGAATTTGAGGATTCAAACAACGCAAAGCAGTGTGTAACAGTGATGATGGAATGTGCTCTGGATGCTCCTTGAGTCTCCCATTCAACCGGAGCCAGATGTATGTGGTTGATTCATACTGACACCAATAATCCTCCCGTTTAAACTCTTAAATCCACATTAATGTAACTGTACTCGTCGGAGACATTTCCTTAAAGCATCGGTCCTTTCTATTCTCATTTAACCATTATTCTCTTAATCTTCGTGCCAGATTGAATGTTCCAGTATATCCGAGTACTCAGAGAGGATCATCAAGTCCAATCACCTGGACAGTGGTAAGACCCCCCCCCACACCTGCCCACCCTCAACCCCTCCTCCATTCTGCTGCAGAGAAGGAAGCAACAGACTAGGTTACAGTCGTGACAGACATAGTGAATGAGCGGCAGGGAGGGAAGGCTGGCAGATACGCATGAGGATAAGGAGAGAGGGATTTTGTGTTCATTACTGCACAGCGCATCGGGCCAGCTCATTCATATTCATTCACACAAACATGCTGCCAATTCATGCAACTTCAAAGCATGTGTTTTAAATCATAATGTCTCTGTAACCTCTGAAAAAATACTCCCAAGCTACTGACTGTGCAAAAGATAACTTCATAAAACAGCCTGCCAGCCAATGTTCTGCCTGTAAAGCCCATGAATACCAAGTAAGCACAAGTAATTGGAAGGGTTGCTCTCAGGTTCTCTCACTTAGATTCAAGTGGGAAGATCTGGATCAGCAGCATGTTTGCATGTCATTCTGTATATGCCACATTGTTTCAACAGGGAGTTCAATAATAAGCCATAGTCAGCTCATCTGTGGGAGGGCAATCCTCCACTCCTGGTTTCCATAACACCACCATGACCGCCATGGCAGCAAATACTTTATATCCTTGTTTCTTTCTGTCGCAGCAGCTCATTTCTTTCACGCAGTGACAGAATAGTGTCACATACTGTGTATGCATAATTGATGGATTGAGACCTAAATCTAAATTCAACTTGTCCTACATATCAGGTGATACTTCATTTTATTTGAACAATAAATGATTAAACATGCACACACTCCATCTCGCTGTAGGATAAAGGGGGAGGGATGCTGAGGCTGCACGAGGCCGACACTTTTCTGAACACCAAAATACAGTTTTGTTGATTTATGACCTAAAAGATATCCCGTCTGTTGCAGTGATCACCATCTTCAAAGGCAAGGTGGAGGAGGTGGAGCTTCCTGTTGACAAGGTGGACATCATAATATCTGAGTGGATGGGCTACTGCCTCTTCTACGAATCCATGCTGAACACCGTCATCTTTGCCAGAGACAAGTGGCTGGTAGGATGTGTGGAGTGTTTCTCGATGTGTGTATAGCCAAATAATAATAATGCTAGTTGCAGTATCTCATATCACTGGAGTATTGTTTGAAGAAATGAACTGATGATCTAATAACAGTCAAAATTAAATCCACCGCTATCAGAATAAAATCAGTGACTAACAGTATTTCAGCCCTTCATTAAGAAACATAATCATCTTAACAAATTGTCATCCAAAGTCTTCTTGTCACCTTGCGACCCCTCAAAATGATCTCCCTTAAATTTATAAATGAATTATTATGTTATTATCACACAGGATTGAGCGAATTAATATAGCAGCAATTGGCTGTATAAGCACGTCTGACGTCTACTTGAGCAGAGAATAAAGTCGCTGCCTCTCCGTGTGTGTCGGCTCTCAGAGCCCGTCAGTGCACGTGAGCTCTCATACAGCAGTTACATCCGTCCCGACCAACGGGCACCACTCTGCGATTCTGCCTCAGCTAAACACGCTGTTCCCGTCGGCTGCGAGGCGCCGACTCCTTGACGCCGTCGCAATGTTGACGGCAGTTGAGAGTCAATAGAAATGTTTCCAATCTTGTATTCAGCCCCTTTTAAATGTAGTACACTCACACAATGCAAAGAGCATTACGACATCAACAGAATGAATACAAGCAAGGGAAACATATTATATTAATAAGAAGCATTCGATGTTTGCAGGACTGTTCATTAAATCCGTTAAATTATTGTTAATTATTTGTAATTATTTGTAATTATTTGTAATTGAAAATAACAGCTATATACCTTGTTCGCGCTTGGAGGGAAAAAAAATAGCCTCTCAATAATTTAAGGTTGTACTTGGCTGAGGAATTAAAATGTCACCGCTGCTGTAATGTCGACCTTTTCTAATGTGTTGGGGATTAATTGCACAGTTATTTCTCTGCCCCCCCCCCGTTTGTCAAACAGAAACCCGGTGGATTAATGTTCCCTGATCGGGCCTCTCTGTACGTGGTGGCCATTGAGGACAGGCAGTACAAAGACTTCAAAATACATTGTGAGTTCAGCGTGTGCAATTGAGGCTGTTTGTGTGTTTTACCTGGAAGGACACACGCGTCCAGGATCGTGTCTCTGCGTCGTAGGTGGACCGCGGATGTGCAGGCGTCCTCATGCCTCTCCCGCTCTGCCGATGATTTAGAAGTTGTTTGATGTTTGAGTTGTTTTTTTATCTGCCGGAGTCAGTGTAGCGCCAGCGCACAACCAGGATGACAACGGAACAAAAGCCAACGGGCCTCCAACTCGCACCTCCCCACGCGTCTGGGAAACAAGGAAAAAACCCACACTGCACCGTGGGAGAGTCACATTGCATCGTCTCACTGCTGTGCAAAGCCTCCCCCCCGCGGTCCGGAATCCATTATTACTGTAATTGAAGTTCAAGACGGATCGCGACGAGTGGTGAGACGAGTGCATGTATTGACCGAACGCATTTCCTCCGCCTGCCTAGATGACCTTTAGGCTGATTTGGAAATGGCCATCGGAAAGCACTCCTCCACGCTAAGAGCAGTATTCCTGCTCTGGGCTGAGAAGCGCCTTGGTTGAGTGGACAGCAAGATATTCAAATAGAGCACAAAACAAGTCTCTGTGCTCTCAAGTACTTTTCTCCTTTTGGGTCACAATAGAGATGTTTGCTCACACATTATCTTAAGGAGCTTAATGAATAATGCATGCGATAATTCACCCGAAGCTGCGAGGATATTCAAGGGAAGACTGCCGGCCCGCGTTCAGCGTGGCTCATGTTTACAAATCAATCCTTGGATGCTGTGTGATTTTCATTCGTCAAAATGAGGGGCCTGGGGGGGTCGTGTATCAAATTATCCTGGGAACGAGTAAAACCACGACTACTGTTCCTCCCCCCTGCCCCCAAACCTCCCAGAATAAACTGTATCATGTGTTTTCATTTCACAAAGAATAACAGAGGACATGCTGGCAAAGTAACTCGTGCTGTATTTACCAGGGTGGGAGAACGTGTATGGCTTTGACATGACCTGCATCCGTAATGTGGCCATGAGGGAGCCGCTGGTGGACGTGGTGAATGCCAAGCAGGTTGTGACAAACTCCTGCCTCATCAAGGTTGGTAAAATATCTCGACTAATGGCAGACTACTCTATTCAAACAGAATTGAATATGCAGAAGACATTGCCGAGTAGGATAGTTCTTATTAAGCTATAATGTGGAGTTGCCAGCATGATTGCAGCGGTGTAAGTCACCCACATTAACTGTGTAATTAAGGGATTAAGTATCGAGGCTTAATTGCTAAACACACTGTGTGGCGTGCCGGGGCAGGTTCGAGTGCAAACGTGATGTCCGTCTGTCTGCGGATTACACCGATAAGGCTGCTGTGCCGTGCACGTCGACGGCAGCCCGGCTACTCCTCCTAATTGCGCTCCTCGTCACAGTGGCGTTCTCCCCGCTGGTACAGATTGGACGGATCTGCCCGGTCTCACCTTTTGTCTCTGTGAAAATTGCTTTGTGATCACACCTTGACATCAGGGTTCCTTTCTCCGTGTTTCAGATCGTCAAACCCTCATTTCTTTTCTTTCATGTGAGACAGCCTATTATTCTAAGTACAGGGAGATTTCACACAAATCGAGCAACAATGATCATTCACGAGAGTTAAATACAAAACCTCTATGGGGCTGATGGGAATAATGCTTGTCTTGAAAAAACAAAGAAGCCAAGCTTTATTGCCTTTAAATGGATTACTGACTGACCTCATTAAAGCTGTATAGCTGAGGAGGAGCACACCAAGGACCTCTGTTCCCTGAAACGCCATGCATTATATTGCTGTCTTACCTTTGAGAAGTTTATCCTGCATGAGTAAATATCTGATAAATATGTTCATGGGAGTGGTTATTTTCTAAAGAGAGCAGGGGGGAGCTCACCTTACATAATATTGCATTGTTATTAATGCCAGCAATCAAAGCCAGCAGTAAATGTCTAATACGGTCTAAGGCAGATGAAACATGGTTATCACACCTCTGCCTACTAGCGCACCCTGAAGGGTACTCTGTGTTTTCACGTGGGCTGCTTCTCCCCGTTTACAGCTACATGATATGTTGGCGCAGTGCCGTTCACCCAAAAGGAAACCAGGGTCTGGAACAACTTGTTCTTCTCTGAACGGGGCCCCAGTGGGGACGACGGGTTATCAGATACCTTGTTAAAGTCACCGGACTCAAGGTTGCTCGCCATGCTCACAAAACCCCTGGAGCCTCGTGGTAGTTAGAGCCCCCGGACCACCCCAGCCACCATACGCTTGTCTTATCTAGACGCACCACTGGCCTGATTCCTCATTTTCATTAGGATCTTGGCTAGGAGCTTGGCTTGGTTTAGTCCCGAGACCTTGAGCTCGGGCAGAAAACTTTAGCTTGGCTGGTGGTTTACAGTGTCAGTTTTGTTCACGTGCTCATGATATTTGAGAATGATCCATTCATTTTGTCCTGCAGGAGGTGGACATCTACACAGTGAAGACTGAAGACCTCTCTTTTACCTCCGCATTCTGCCTGCAGATCCAGAGGAACGACTACGTCCACGCTCTGGTCACCTACTTTAACATTGAGTTCACCAAGTGTCACAAGAAGACTGGTTTCTCCACCGGTAAAATGCCTCACACTCTCTCTTACTTTGCATAGAGGGATCTGTGTGTGTGTGTGTGTGTGTGTGTGTGTGCTGTTATCAGCCCTGACCGCAACAACATAGCGCCACCAAGAGGTCGAGTTCAGTATCTCTGTATTCTGACACAGCAGAATGGACACTTCACTTTACGTGCCAATAAGCCACTAGCGTATCTGACATTGTTAAATAGGTACAGTGATAAAATAAAGACCATCAGTTGGACAGGTTCTCTACACCTTTGCAATATTGATTGAGTGGCCGAATTCAAAGAGGAGCAAGATGCTCTCGTGTGGTCCGTGTCGAGACGTTGAAGGCATCTATTGGTCAAGAAGTGTCATTGTCACTTTGCGTTAGAGCAACTCAGATGAGGCCGGTTGACAAGCTGAACCAGAGGGAAGTCGTGTCGATATCAGTGTGTGACTGACCTCTAGTGGTAGTGCTAAATATTGTGCTTTGAAATGATGTGTAAAGCAGAATACAGCACTCTAAAGGTCGGTTTGAATAATGTATATTTTGGCCTTCTGGTACTGATAATCCTTTATTTATCAAATGATGGCATCATAAGAAGTTTGCGTCGTTTTGTTAAGAACTATATTCATATACGATACATTTTGAGAAATGTTAAGATACAGATCTAAACCTGCACACGGGGAGCCAAACGTGCAATCGATTCCCCGCGCGACACATCACAGCTGTCACACATCACACCGGACACACAAAGACTCTGAAGAAAGGAAAGCAAGCGGATCAAGGTTGCAATGCATGCTGGTCAGTAGAGATTTCGACTACTGAATTTACATTAGAATCGCAGCTCGTCAGTGTCCCTTTTTGATAGAGCCCGGCCTGTGCGGCAGCCACGGTGATTGTCCCGTCCTTCCAGCGATGGACGCAGTGACGTGTCCTCTTTAAAGGCAATGCTACCGAGCTGGTGGAAATTCAATTTAAGAGGCCACTGAACTTTTGAGGTCTTTGAGGTCTGTAAAGCAATCAGCAGTGTTCAGGGCACTGAGAAATGCTTACACTGATTTTGGGGCTTGGGTGGTTGGATTTGATCTGGCTGTGCGTACACACACACACACACACACACACACACACACACACACACAGACAGAGAGACAGAGACAGAGAGACAGGGAGAGAGACCAGTGCAAATAGGGTGGCGCAATAGATACAAAGCGATGAAAGAAGATTGACCCGAGCAGACGTGGGGAGGTCAAGAAGGCAGTCATGCATTTCCTGCCTTTTACTTCCACTCGTCAACTCTTGAACACAAGCGGATCCTATTTTTTTGCACCATTGCTTCACAGCCGGACTCGCTTCAGTGCCTCCAACTCTTCATCTGTTCAGCTTCTGTTTATTCACGTCACATACGCTGTAAAGGTGGCGCACTCCTCAGCCAGCTGGCTGCCATTTCGCTGAATGTCTACTCAGTATTGTACCAAATTATGACAGAATGATGCTGCGTGGTCATGTGACTTGTGTGCGTGTGTGTGTGTTCCAGCACCAGATGCTCAATACACGCACTGGAAGCAGACGGTGTTTTACCTGGAGGACTATCTGACGGTGCGGAGAGGAGAGGAGATCGTCGGCACCATTGACATGAAGCCCAATGAGAAAAACATTGTGAGTACGGTTCAGTGTGATGCTCCTCATGCGTAGTGTGCGCTGTGGAATCACAACAACAAATGCAACGAGTGTTTTACTGTATTATTTGAGCTTGTGTTCGTGCCATGTATTGGCTTATGACCCCCCCCCCCCCCCCCCCCCCTCTGGCTGAAACCCATTTTTCTTTTCTTTTCTCTCTTTGACCGGCAGCGCGAGTGTGACTGTTCCTTCCAACGGGATTTCAAGGGGCAGCTGGTGCAAGCGGGCCAATCCGACGATACAGGATGTGTTTGGTCCCACTGTGAGGGACGGTGCCCCCCTCAACAACCCAGGGGAGAAGGGAGGGCTCCCGCGATCCTGAGAGACACATAGGGACCGGGCAGAAGAACCAAGCACACTCGGCCCCCCGGTGATGATGTCGCTATTGTCAATCGGGTGTTTTGAGAAAGCAGGAAGTTACTCGTGCACACTGTTAAACAAACCTGAATGTATCACCAACAAGCAGAGGTCAGGAATATCTTCTCGCCATGATGACTGTTATCGATGTGCGTTCTTGTGAGATTGGAGTGACGTGACCTTTTGTGTTTTGTTTCTTTCCACCTTGACCTGGAACTGATGGAAGGATAGTTGACGCATTTTAAGTTACAGGTCATGTAATCAGTTACTGGGGTTGTCCACATTTTGCATTAGGTAGACAACCAATTTAAGGTTGTGATTGTTGTGTCATAGCACGCACTGTAGGGAATGATCAGAGAAACACCTTCCATTTGTAGCGTCAATTCAGCAATGTTGGAAAAGTGAGAGCAGAGCCAAGGACAAACCTGCGTGTGTGTGTAACGTGAAAGGTAGCATGTGTTTGCGTAGTTGTCGTGCTAGTAGCCTTTCTGTGAGTGTGACAGAAGGCGTCACACTGTCGCACAGCTTGGAATCCAGATGTTTCCTGTGTGGTCAGTTTGAGCAGTGGTGTTGACATGCCAATAACATACCATCCCCAATTCTAAATGCCTTGACCAAGTGCCGATACCTTAGTTATTCTTTAGCTCAGATATTAGTTTGCTTTTTACTACATCTGATCCATGTCAAGGAATTGAACCCCACAACCAGCGGACCTGCAGTAACCCATCATGACCCTAACGAGACGGAGAAGATGTTGTTTCTTTAGTTCCGTCACACGTTGTTGGTGTTGTACCAGTGTTCACAGACTGTAAAAGGACCTCAGTCTAAAACGTACTCCATTGAACACTGTTACAAAACCACGCTTCCACTCCAGCTGTGCTCTTAAAGGTCATTAGTGGCCGCTGAAGGGTCTTCACCCCTTCAAGATGTGGGAAAAGAATACCTCACGTTGATATTCCCGAGTACAACCATCAAACTAGTGATACCATCAACTAAATACGCTTGGAAACGTTTGGCAGCACGTCATCTGTCCCATGTTAATCCTAGAGTAATTGTGTAGAACACGTGTGTTGACACAAGCAGGAAACGGCCTCTAGATTCCATTTCTTACATCGTGCAGAGACCCTAATGAAGCTTTCCAGAGCTGTTACTAAAATGTACAGTATGAGCTCTTGAACAAATCGGAGGAAAGTATATCTATTAGGCATGCAGTTAATGCTAGTAGTATAAATCAATAAGTATTAGAGGATGCGGTTTCTTTCATCCTGTGTATTTTATAGGGCGCTTACAGTAATACACTGTAATAAGTCATTAATGCTTACGATCAACAATATATTATAAATCTTATTTATTGACAACGGCCGGCTCCTCAAATTAAACCCCAAACAATATATTTCATAAGTCATACTAATTCTAATAAATTGGCATGTTGATTCTTCAAAATATGGAATATGTTGTTTCACATACTGTTTTGTCAACTTAAAAAATTGAATAAAAACAGCAATGTCAAAACTCGTCCACTGGGTGCTGCTGTATGACTTACTTTCATTTCAATGTACCACACACAATTTTGACGTTAACAATGATTTATTTTTTTCCTTTTTTTGTATTTCCCTCCTAATATACATTAAAATGATATGCAAGACACTGGCAGAAGTGGAGCATTAGTGCAATATCAAATGGTGGAATATTTACGAAAACATTTGTATTATGAAGCTGGCTGTGACACATTATAGATAACTAGCAGGTTAAACTGACACCATTTACATAAAATACTTGGCACAGAGGCAGGTGATTAACATCCTTTGGTCTATTTGGGAAAAATGAATTGTCTTTTCTAGACAAATGACTGAGCCAACCCCCCAAACCAAAACAACAACCTTCAGCAACAAAAGAATTACCCAACAAGGCAAACATAACGTGGCCGAATAGAACAAAATGCTGCAAGAAAAAATGCTGCAAGTACCAACATGACAGTTCTACAACAAATGCTACATTTGAATATAATTATTTTCAGTGTTTATTAATTTAAATAGAGCAAACTTTTGTAAAATCATTGGACAAAACACATAAGCAGATTGCTTTGGAATTGTGATGCAGTTGTTGTTTTGTACTTTGTCCACCAGGTGAAAGAACCCATATCCTGTAATGATATCACTATGACAACCAATCTTAGCTCTAAAAGTGAAATCGACACCTCTGACACAGTCTTAAAACACACACAGGGCTTCACCAAGGGAGTGTTTCCGACACTGTTGTTGTTTTAGGTCCATTTCATGCATTTTTACAAAAGGTAAAGAAGCTAAAACAGCTAAAATATACACATAACACTGACTGAATACTTAAATATGTGGAGTAAAAAGCCCACATGTGCAGATAAAGGATGAATAAATATTTGAGAGACAGTCAGACTATAAATTGTACATTTAAAAAATAAGAAAAGATCTTAGTCTGACTGAAAATGGGCTCAGTTTGTCTAACATTTGTTCAGCTGTTCAGCTAAACAAATACAGTTAATAGGTTTCTCTTCAAACTGAACATCTTGAGTAAACAGAGTGAACGGTTTTGAAGAATGCATTAATATCTGTGAGACAGAACGTACATATATAGCTGTGGTTTTGACTGCGTGAGAAACAGTTGTGCTGACATTCTGGTTAACGTGTCGTCATGTGGTCTCAGTAAAGGGTAGTGCTAATGTGTGTGTGTGTGTCAGCTGTTCCGCTGTCAGCAGCACGATCTTTTCTTATCTGAGGGATCGCCGACCAGCTGAACCGTCTTCTCCTTCTCAATGTCCTCTTGCTCTTTTAGAATTCTGAGGGCAACAATGAGGCATTAACACGTGAACCCGTTCTGGTGGGACGTGCTGCTGTGTGTCCCCTGTGTGTCATAACCAGAGACATATTGAACCTAAGCGCCACACACAAAAGCTCACCTTGCTAAATGAATCATGGACTCCATCACATTTTGTCCAGAACATGCGCTGCATTCATAGAACGTCATCTGGCAGTCCTGGAAAGGCGGTGGACATGTTTCAACTTTTTGCACATTGATCAGGGTGAAAGCCAAATCTTTACCAATGAGAAAATAGAAACAAATCTCGCAGTATGCATGCAGATTTTTAATCACCATAACAACTAAAAGCATAAAAATTAATCCGAATGAGATGAGGTTGCTTCCCAAAAAGGAACTGAAACTCTCTCTATACAGTAATCACGTTTCTTTCATTCATAACTAAGAAAACAAACACTGGCTGGACACTGACTGGTCTGCTAGCACACAACACAACACACAAACAGACCTTGGCTAGTCTTTCCCCCAATCCTTTCTGAACTTGTCTCCCGGCATCCTTGTCCGTTTTGTTTCCCAATAGCATGATGGGGATGTCCTCGCCTGCGCCCTCCTGGGAAAGAAGAAAAATCAAACATTACAGATGTTTAAAAGAGCATTAGCTCCCCTGTAGGCTCCGCAGTAGGAAACCAGACAGCCGATGCTTCCGTACTACATTGCAAAACACGCAACCACTCGGACTCCACTCCGTCCAACCTGCTGAAGAGAAAATACTGCACAGAAACACAAGTTCCACCAAAAGATTTGTTCTGCTAGTGGCATTTCTGCAAAGCACACGGGGTCTTGCCTTCACACTCGTCAGCCACTGTCTCACAGCCGTGAAGCTCTGCACGTCTGTGATGTCATAGATTACAACCACACCGTCAGCCTTGCGAAAGAATTGTTTGGTGATACTCCGATACCTGCAGAAGCAGAAGGGGGGGGGGGGAGGAAAATAGAAGAAGTGTTTTCTACACACATTGATCTTTTGTTGTGTTGCAGTATATAACATGTAAAACATGTTCTGATGTGTGCAGGTCTTCACCTCTCCTGTCCTGCTGTATCCCACAACTGCAGCGCCACCTGGCTGTTGTCCACAGCCAATGTCTTTACACTGTAATCTATACCTGCACACGCAGACAAGAACGTCATTTAGTCAGATCATTTATTTATTTTATATTGTCTACCGTCACAACAACACTGATCACCAGCTACACACCAATATGCATGTGGACCCTGAAGAATGAACTAACGCGATACGTACCCACAGTGGCCGAAGTGCCGGGGTGGAAGCAGTCGTCGCAGAATCGCCGCAGGAAGGAGGTCTTTCCTACGCTGGAGTTCCCCACCAGGACAATCTTGAAGAGGCGGTCGGGCGGAGAGGGCCCGCTTTCCTCCTTAAGAAACAGGACGCGTGAACAGAGGCGATGGGAAGACGTCGCGTCAGCACTTAGAGTGATATCCTTACATGCTTACATTCATGCTGGTCTCCTTGCCAACGGGCTGACCCCTCGGAGACGAGGGAGTTGGACTTTTCTCCACTGGTTCTTGCTGCTGGGCAGAAGTGTAAATATCGCTCATCACCAAGTCTATGTGCTCCTCCTCGGTGTCCGAGGCTCCGTCTTCCTCCCTACACTCCCGGAGTGGGGTTTGGGGCTGACAGTCATTCTGGAGCAAGTATGGGAGGTGGTCCTCCTCGATGGAGATGATCCTTTGGAGGTGGCCCCCTGTGTTGGCTGTGCACGAGGCCAGGCACGACCCATTGGTTAGGTTGTGCCTCACAGAGCCGACGGTGAGCTCCTCGTCATCCTCACTGCAGACAGAAAGTGACATTGTAGCACACAGTGCAGTGCTTTTGGAAACAACGCAGGTTTAAGATGATGACAGCAGAACTACTAATGCAGGCTTGTGTGATGCTTCACCTCCTGAAGACACTTGATCTTGTGTGTTTCAAAGCATTGATGGAAGATCTTCCGTGCTTCAAACTTGGGTTTTTCTTTGAATTCGATGGATTCTGCAGAAATAAAACACCTTTACTTTAATTACAGCAAGAGCTCAGGGTTCAATCAAACATTTGAAGATGGCTATTTTGGGCTCTTTCCAACATCTTTTTTTTTTTTTCAAATCCTATAAATCGGGAACTTAAAAAGTAAAATTCTTGTTCATTCTGTACACATGGCATCCATTGTAGTCTGTCCATCCCGGGAGTGGGATCCCTCCTCTGACGTTCTCCCTAAGGTTTCTTCCCTTTTTTCCCTCTTGGAAGGGTTTTTTCATTTTTTGGAGAGTTTTTTCCTGTGCCGATGGTGGGTTTCGGGACAGAGGATGTTGTATGTGTACAGACTGTAAAGCCCTCTGAGGCAAATTTGTAATTTGCGATTTTGGGCTATACAAAATAAAATAAATTGAATTGAATTGAATTAAAATAAATGGCACTTACCTGGAAGCATATGTCTTTTTCATCCCGTAAATGTTTGTTCATTTCCCTGGATAGAAAAGAAATAAAGACATTAAAGAGAGCGGGAGAACATTTTCATTAACATTAACCCTTACTTTTTCATAATCATGATATCTATGTCTGTATTGCACTTTGTTTCGTCTAAAGTGGGGCCAGAACAGCTGCACATCAAGGTCCAAACCTCAACAGGTCCAGTTGTTTGAGGAGGCTCGCTCGCTCTCGCTGGAGTCCCTCTGTCAGTCTGTATATTTCACTGTGGGGGGACAACAGATTCATGCTTTATTATGAAACACATTAAGAGGAAATATGCAAATATGTAGCAGAGCATATTCCTATCAAGATACAGTATCACAGCATTGGAAACATACAGCCAGACTGGTCTTTTATTATATAGGTGTCTATACAAATAAGCATCAGAAGATGATGCTTAATGAGCCAGCAACACAAATAAGTGTAGCTTAGAGCACGGCCAGCACCTACTCATGAAAATGGGATAGAACGCATTTATCACTGTGGTTTGTAGCAAAAACATGTGCTTGTAACCACAACTTGTTAAGCAACAAGAATTGAAGTTGCTTAACAGTTGCTCATCAGTGCAGGAGTCATGGTGGACGAAAGAAGAGCATCTCACATCTCCTTGTCCTCGTGAAGCTGCGTGGACTGCTCCTGCAGCAGATTCAGCTGCTCCTGAGCCACCATCAGCTCCTGGCTGGTTTGGTCCAGCTCCTGTGCCAACTCGTCATTCTTGTGCTTCAGCTTCACGTTCTCCACCTTGGTCACATGCTGGTCACTCTGAAGCTCCCGGCACTCAGCCTCCAACTGGAGACAAAAACAGACCAGTGCCGAGTTTCACTTGAATGGTTTTGCATCACACCTCCCTGGATTCTCTCTCAGATCACATGCGGATAAATACAACCTGCAGCTCTATGTGTAGGAAGAGAGAAATGTCTGACCTTGGGGGACTGCTGGTGGCACACACAGTCACACCAGTAACTCTGTCCATTATACTCTCAGCTCTGAAAATGCACGGCTGGTGAATCTATCAACATCTTTAACAAATGCCACAGAGTTGCAATTGTGACCACACTGAATGCTTTACTGCTCTCCTCCAACACTTGGCAAACAGGAGACTTAATGACTAGAGGTGTTAGTGCTGGGAGAAGAAAGAAGAATGGCACGACCTATTAACATCTGGCAGTATCTCCCAACGCAAGCCACTGCTGTTGTTGCTGCAGAAAAAGATCACACCAGAAACATCGAATAGATGCTAATCTGCTCTTTCGGGGAAAAAAAAAAAAAAGTTGGAGTTGGACATCCTTACCATCCATATAACTTTTGTGAGACTTTATTTGAATACTTTTGCTGCTTGTATATATTATATATATTTATGGTGGATCAACCAACCCGACAGCAAATAAAGTCGTCCCTTAATCCCACCATTAACACTGGCAACATTAGGCATGATTTCATATTAGACCCTCAGTCAAATATGTTTTTCGATCACGTAGAAAGCAGGATCATAGTCGGAAAGCCAACTTATCCACCTCACAAAACACTAGACTAATTGTATAGTTTTTATTGTTTGGTGTTAGAACACGATAAATGGCCTCAGAGATCTTTCACTGTGTTATACAACGATAGTTTAATAGGTGTGTTTGTGGCCCAGTGGAACTAAATTGCTTTATTACCCCATTTACAGCATTCTGTTATCTTGCTCTGACGGCTGAATTTCCCTGCAGGATAACTGAGGCGAGGAAGGGGGTGTGTGTGTGTGTGTGTGTGTGTGTGTGTGTGTGTGTGTGTGTGTGTGTGTGTGTGTGTGTGTGTGTGTGTGTGTGTGTGTGTGTGTGTGTGTGTGTGTGTGTGTGTGTGTGTGTGTGTGTGTGTGTGTGTGTGCAACTGTAATACTGCGGCGCTCCCTCTCGCTCACTCACCCGTTTCTGTTTCTGAGAGAGCTGCCACCGCTCTCTCTCATAACAGACAACTGCCGCTCCGGGTCCAGACTGAGAGACAGGAAGCGCTCGCAGTCCTTAAGGTGGCGGCAATCACAGCGAGAGGCGGGAGGACTAGTGCACGTGTGATGAAGAAGCAGCAGATGTTGCAGTATTTGATATATGTTAGCAACAGAAGAAAATGACTTGCATACGAGATTGTTTTTTTTTTTTACCTGCAGCACAATCCTGTCTTTTTCGGTTTTGATCTGCTGCTCCATTTCCTCATAAAGGTGCTGGATCTGATCATCGTGTGTTGCTGCCTTCCTGTACGGATACAGCTGAAATGTGACGATGCAATGTGGCGGCGGCCCACAGCCACGCACTTGAACTCAAACCGTGGTTTTGAATGACCCCAGTTACGAGTCTCCCTGACCTCTGTAGGGCGCTCTCCATCTCCTTCTTCTCCTGGTTGGCCTCTCTGATCTGTGACGTCACTCTGGCCAGGAAGTCCTCAAAATTGGATAAAAGGTCGGGTTCGTCTCGGCTGAGCTGTGCCCACAAACTGCGCACTTCAGCGCGACTGAGGGGACAGAATGAAGCAGCAGTGTTCAACGAGAATTTTTTTTTTTTTGATTTTAAGGAGACAAAAATAAATTCAAGGACGTGGTTGGAAATTCAGTCCAACACGTAAATGTACAAAGAGGCAGCAGCTCAGGTACCAGATAATTGTGCTTTCTAAAAGAACATGATGTTCCTTGCATTGAAACTTGGATCCTCTTGTTATTGCAGCAAAGAAAACCAATACTTTCTAGTCGGAACTGGTTTTCTGCTGCATTCTGTCCCAGTGACTTTGGTAAGGAAGTCAAAGGTATCCCTGGAAGCCATTCTAACAGTACCTTTATAGTACCCATCCTAAATGTCTTGTCAGCATCAGTTAGTGCTGCGCAAACTGATCTGAAATGTCAACTCGAGCTAACCAAGTTCAAATACGATGTGTACGTCTGGCATTCACCTCCACCGTCCACCACTGTTTGCTTTTATCGAGCTGGAGTTGTTTGTTAAAGGAGATTCTCTTCATGCGTTTCAAAACATCCTGTCATTATCCAGGACATGGCAACGTCCACACAGACCGCAGTGAGAGTTACTAATGCCCATCGAATATTGTATGAAACGCCAATGCAGAGAAAGGTTTTACGTTAAGGAGTCAGATACGATTGCTAAGGGCTCAAACGCGCAGTCCCTTTCTTATGTACTACAGAGGCAGGGCACAGATTGCGAAGAGGGGGAAGCACAGCAACAGCTTTGCAGGACAGTGGAAACTTCCAACTGAGTGTGCACAGCTGATTGTAGTCTCAGGTTAAGTCCCCTGGAACAAGGCGCGGACGTTAAGGACGCCCCGTCTGCAGAGGTGTGACGCGGGTCGGCCAATAAGTGACGGCCGCACGTGGCGTACTCACTCCTCAAAGACGCTGTTGGCTCCGAGGCTCTCCATGAGCATGCTGAAGTGCTTCTCCTCTTCGTCCTCGCCTCCTCGCGCCTCGTTCTCCTCCCACTGGCTCTGGTAGAGGACCTCTGCTGGGCTTTTGCGGGCTTTCTCCTCTTCCTCCTCCTTCTCCTCCTCCATGCCTTCAGCGAAAGAAATCTTCCGGCCGAATAAGAACTCGCCTGCAGCGACAATCAAAACCTTTAGTGCACAATGGAAACGCCAGATTTACAACTTTATAGCAGAAAAGGGGCTCGAAACCTACTGAAGCCGGAGGAGAACTCGTTCAGCGTCAGGTACCCGTTGCCGTCTGAATCAAGGGTAACAAAAACGTTCTCCAGCTCCTCCGCGCTGAGCGGCAGCTCGGCAGTCAGTCTCTATTCGTATAGACACAAAACACAGCTGTCATTAACTGGACTTTAACAATATTGTAGGTATAACAACTACAGCCTGAGAACAGTCATCAGCCCAGTGGCTGTTGTGTGCAAGAACAGTCGTCCGCGCTTTCATAACTAGATGGATGGAGCCAAAATAACCCCGGATGTTAACACCCGTGCAGTCGAACACCTGGACTCTTCCCAGTGAAGCTACAGTCTTTAATGATTGACCGCCAAAAGCCTTTTAAGAAGGGATACTAGTCGAGAGCAAAAAGAGCGACGGCGGCTCTGTATCTGAAGATTCAATCCGAAGGCACACAACAGAGTCATAACCTCCCTTCTGACCATGACAGTAACAGAAAAGCCAACACCGCCACACCTCGGTGAACAGCTCGCGTTTTACACCGTGTTTACACTGCTGTGAAATGTTGACCCAGGCGTCCCACACAATCCAGGGCAGGGACGCAGAAGATCAGCTCTTCCTGTAAAGTGTGTTATCGGGGCAGAACACATCCCCGATGTCAGCAAACAGTGTAATTGTAAAGCCATAGTGCTGTTGGTCACAGGGTGAAACTCGAGTGACTAAAATAAATAAGATGCCGTGTCGAGGGTGTTTGTAAAGTCTTATGTAAAGTCATTTGAGAACTAGTAGCACGAACAGTGACGAGCGCTGCTTTGGCGCACAGATCTCCCTCTGCAGCGCAGACAGTCGCGTGAATAGAATTGAGGAGGACCGGACCGCTGCCTAATTTCCAAGCCATTATCATGTAGACCAGATCAAAGCTTCCCCTCCCTTTATTTATGCTCCCGTACTGCCTACATCAGTGCCTCATCAAAGGGTCCGCCGTGGCACCGGATGAATATCAGAGGGGCAAATGAATCTGCACAATGTGAGTGGAGGAGTTGCTTGACAAAAGGGGTCCGCGTGTCTCTTTTATGCCCCTTTTGAATGAGGTGCACATGTCCTGCTCAGCATCTTTAATGAATGCACGGACCAACTTTCCACATCACGTTGATTGTGAATGAATGAAAGGCTGTTTCTGTTAAAAAAAATAAAAAATAAAGCCCAAAGCGGATGCCAAACATCTGTCCTAACTGCACTGATACTTTGTCGTTTAGGTGTGGATTTAAAGTTGGAAACAATGCACAAACAGCCTAAATGTAATTCTAGCAAACATTACACCATTGAAGTTTTATCATTCACATGCAACAAAGAGTCTGGCAGCCACACTTGTGTCAGCGACCTCACCTGCATGTCACGTTGGGTGATGAAGCCCTTGTTCTCGATGTCGCACATCTGGAAAAACTCCCGGGTTTTCTCCCCGATAGTGTTCTGTCCCACGTCCCCGTTTTCACAATTGCCCGCTTCGTTCCCGCCGCCGCCGCCTCCTCCTCCTCCTCCTTTCCTTCGCCATGCGGATCGGGCCACCGCGGCGGTCGTTGTGGCGGCGGCACAAGCAGTAAAAGCTGCCATGGCGTTTTTTTCCCAGTCTGTTCCTTCGAGAGCGTTTTTTCCCGCGTGCTTCACATGAGCCGACAACAGACAGGAGGCGTGGAGGGAAGAGGACCTGGAGAAGTCGAGCTTCGGGCTGCTCTACATCAGACTCTCACCAATGTCAGAGATTGTCATCTCTTAGCAACCGCCTCTTTAATTAGTCGATGAAACCTAGGAGAGAAACAGACGGAGAGCCTTCAGTTTAAATAAGTACAGCTCCTTCCAGCCCAAAATAAATCAATAGGAAATAAAATAGATTAAATGTTTGTAGTTTATAAAAAAAAAAAACACATTATTGAGTCTATAAATGTTTATAAAAAGGTCGATGCATCTTCTTTGTTTCCATAAATAACACAATAACAGCTGCATCAAAGTAGACTTGAGAGATTTGATAACTGAATTTGTTTATAAGGAAAATACCTTGATTCCTCTTTTAAACTAGAGTTGGTGGTAATCCTTCATTCACATGAAATACAGCTAGTGAGCCTCATCATGCAGTACTGTTTGTACACTAGTGTTCGTTCTTGTGAACTTTTTTGTCATGTCTCACACACGTTATCAGTTAAATATGGCCCACTGCGTGCGGTACACCAAAATAAAACTACTGTTCTCCTCCTCCTCCTCATCTTCGGGGACGATGGCCCTGGCTGAGGCTGATGCCATCTGACAAGCAAAGCCCAAAAAAGTGAAACAAAAGTTATGGTACGACGAGGAGGGTCTCTTCCAGCCCGGAAATATTGACTGATAACTCCGTTAGCGGTGGGCTTTTGTGATGACTACCGTTGTCTGTGCACTGGTGTGGACGACTGCCTTCCGGAGGCTGCTGTGCACCATGAGTCGATTAATGTCACAGTGTGTGTGTGTGCGTGTTGACCCACGCAAGTGTGTGGGACTGGTATGAGTCAAACAAATGGTAAAAAAAAAAAGATGTATATGAAACGTAGAGGCAGGTAGGAGGTGAATAGCGGCTCAGAGACGTAATACACACAGGAACTTTAGAACTATAGCACGGGCACAAATATCATGTGCTTATAAAGCACCTGTCATTCATATGAAGATGTGCAGGACCCCAATAATAAAATAACCATTCAAAAATATATTACTGCGTAGGGAAATATTTGGTTTTCACAGAGCATGCAAACATATCGTTTGTGTTTATAAGAGTTGCTAGGCATGATTGCAAGTTTGAGGCAAAGCATCTTGCGGGCAGAACGGCCCTGACGAGGAACGTCAGCGACCCACAACGAGCAACAGTCCTCAGCCACACAATAATGCATAATACTGTCTAATCCCTTGACACACTGTCCGGTTGGCCTCAAGCCAGAGAGGTTTATGGTAAGTGTGTAGGCAGGTGGCTGAGGACCCGTCACTACAATAGAAAAGACGTCAGACAAGATCAAACACTCATACTTACTGCAAGGAAAATACATTTTCGTCTCATGACAATCAATTAGAAGATTATTTCTGTACTGAAACTAAAGCATTTGTCATTTTCCAAAGAACAAACCTTTCAATGCTGCAGCTGCCTGCTTTGCGTGTGTCAAACCTTATCGGTTTTAGTGTCAGACACGCAACAGCTGTTAGCTATCTGAGCTCCACCAGCAAGAAACACTTCATTTGCACAACTCTTCAACATCAATGGTATACATTTTAAAAAGCCACTATTAACGCTGCTATTGTTTTAAAAATGTACATTTATATGTAAAATAAATATAAATGTATATGTCAGTGGTATTAGATTAAGAAAGAAAACGCAGTGGATGTTGTTGTTGCATGCTGTTGGTTTCTCTTGTGTTTTTTCCTCCAAAAGTAACATTTAAAAAGTAACAATAAGAAGAAGCTGCTTGGACGCCTGTCCTTGAACCCACCTCATGATTTGAGTCCGTGCTGCTGAACACTGTGGAAGACATCGTTGGATCCTTTTGAACAACACTAACTTCAACACGTTTTGTTTTGTTTTTTAAAGCGCTTCACGGTAAGTTAAATCACCCAGCACATGCCGACACATCTGGGCAGGGCGAGTGTTTGTCTGGAGGAATTGAACAGTGACCTCCAAGTTGCAAAAAGTCACCTCACCTCACTACTTCCTGGAGAGAGTTTAAGACAATTTCCACTCCGCGACATCGACCACATCCGCGTCACCGCCAGCAGCTACTGGCGCGGTGGCGGACTTATCTTCCGTCACCTGTTAACAACTTCTCAACACCCGGAACTGTCAAAACACACACACACACAAGCCAATGTAAACACAATTCGAGCAGTCGGGCTGCTTCCACGTGTAGACAACAACAACAAGCTAACGTTCACACTTCCTTCCCCGCAGTGACACTTTATTTTATTGTGAAACTTCCTCTGTCGGATAAAACCTTGTTGAAACTGTCGCGTTGTGTAAGTTAAATACACGTTTGAAATAAAGATACGGATGACTTCCCGTTTGACTAACGCAGCCGCTTTAACGTTACGCTAACGGCGACAGAGCTAAAGTTAACTTTTACGTACCGGTGGAACGAAACGCGACGTTCCGGTCAGAGTGATTCGGCGACTTTGTTTGTAATAACCGCGTCCGCTTTCAGCAAACATCACTGTTTACGGGTCAAGTGGTGCAAGTGGAGGAATTTGACTGAGAGACGACGTACAACTTTAGGGGGACGGGCTTGGAGAAGTCATCGTTGGTGACCATAGCAACGCCAACCCGGAAGTTCCCACGCGCAGGCTTCTGGACATTTCTTTCCTGTCTCCTGAATGACGGAGTGATTTGGACACAATAGTAATGCGATAACTGAACTGAATTATTTGGGAGAGGCGAGTGACTTTGTTTCATTTTTCTTTTTAACACACGGGTGACATTCACTGTCTGTACGTATTTCTGTCTGTGAAGTAAAACATCTTCCATCATTTGTCTTAACATGTGAAAAAGTAACCAGAACGAATTGCAACATAAAGCTTTCGGTTTATAGAGAAAGCAGACCTGGTACTATCATTGCAATTACATTATGCTGAACTGTTAGTTTGAGTACTCTTGAGTTTTAGGCTACAGACAAAACATGAAACAAGCTGAACTGGATAAACAGGAAACAAAAATACAAAAACTACAAAAACAAGTGGGGAACTGCTCAAGACCATTACTTTTACACCGTCTCAGTTTAGTAATAATAGTGATAATCGCTTCTGTTCGGTCAGAAGCTGAAATGAAAGACCTGTGAGCCAGACTTTAATGTTCTCTGATGTAAAGATGGTCTGACAAATTGGAAACATCTTAAAAAAATTTCCACATAGAGCACAAGCCAGTCCAAATCAATTCAAATTGAACACCCTTTTAGTTATATGGCGTTTAAGCTATTGTCTTTCTTTATTGTTAATATAAAGTTAACGTTACTGTACCTGTCAGGGGCCACCTGGTGTTTTTTTTTTTACTTCACTAGTATATCTGAACACGTTCAGCCACAATAAACTGTTGTGCAGTTGTAATACCAATGGGCATCAGGTGAGTGCAGTACAGGGAAAGTTATGAATTGCATTTCCGTACGTTGTCCCTCCCACTACAAACCAGGATGTTCACCAGTTACTTTTTTCAGAGGTCGTTATTACACTTATTAAACTGCCATGGCACTGCAACCTGTTTCATGCTGTCCGCCTGGACGGATGTGGTCTAGTTAGTAAACAGCGAGGCTGAGCTAGAGCCCAGTCTTGCAACATGTGGGTGAAATCCACAGGCTGAAGGGTCTTATAATGTCCCATAAAAATGTGTCTGCTCCATTGCACAGCAGGCAAGCAGGTGTAAGAACTCAGAGGCAGCACATTCCCTCTTCAAGGAGTGAAATGACATGGGTGTTCCACATGTGTGGTCGGGACGAGGACCCTTGAGCCTCGACTGTCTCCTTGTCAAGTTGTTTTGGAACGGCTGATTTGCAGCAAACAGATGTATGCAAGGCGATGCTCCAGCTGAGATTTCAGAGCCAGATGTGTTTACACTTCGAGACGTAAGTAATGGTCTTCGGAAAAAGCACTGATTTCTTACATGAGTGAAAGCAGACGGCAGCAAGAACATTGTTGTGATAATTCTCTGTTTGATCCCGCTGGTTTTAAATTCTGTTGTTTAGGCAACGTGATATTTTTTTGCAGCAAAGTATTTCTAGCAACATGTTTTTAAGAACCTCATTGACTGTCTCCTCGAGTGTCCGTAAGTGGGATACCTTGAACGAAGCGTGCACGGTGGTAGGAAGCCACACTTCACCGCTACGGGACCTCTGGAAGCGACTTCAACCACACCGAGAGGGAGAAATGTAGAGCCCACTTAGCGAGGAAGAGACTGGCGGGCAGCAGTATCGCCACACTGTCCCGGGTGAAGGCCTTGGAAAGACTGACATCACACTTGGACGGGTTTCATTCCGAGTATGGGAGGGCGTGTGGTTGGGGAGGGGGGGCTTAGAGTCATCCGTGGCTCTTCTTCAGAGGTCTTTCATGGCCTTCGGGATCGCTCTCCGGGGCTTTGATCAGAGGTACACCAGCGCCTTCGGGATGTTGACGATTGAAAGCCGTGGCCTTGTGTCTCTGCGGCTGTGGGTCTGGCTTTTGGTTTTGGTTGTCTGTACATCCGTGGCCTTTAGTGCCTTCAGTCTCGTTTTTTTTGTGCCAAGGAAAACTAAGGAACTCATTCACATTTTTGGGCCTGAGTGTGGGAAGACGGAAACTAATTTATGAGGGGTGCAATCTTTGGTAAATGGGCAAACATTTAAAAAGTTTCATGCAGGACTTCTAAGGGGTTGTCGTCTCCGACACAGTCTCATCATTTCGGCCATTTTCCGACAACCAGGACACCTTGTGTTTGCTCTTATTTCCACCTTGAGGGTCCCATCTGGCACTCAGGCTTTAATTACGTCTAAGGATTATTATGTCACACCCTCAGGAAGACTTTAGCCTGATTGTCTTCACAGTTGTTTTTTTTAATTTCTTGAACCTCCATCAAAGATTTAAATAGGAAAAAATGCAGCTGTTAACTTAATGTTTTTACATCTTTAATTTCCTTTGATGGGTCCACCACTGGGGTTCCAGTTTCTCATCACAACCTCTAGGTGGCACTCAAAAGTAGGTTACTGCTAGGAAAGAGCCCCGCTCAGCACCTGTGGACTTTATTCGCAGGCAAAACGCCCACACTAATGAGCTCTCGATACGGAGATGGAGCGTGTCGTGGTAAATTTATTGCTGCTAAGTGCTGCGAATGATTTCATGAATTGATAGTCCAAGTTCTTCCCCTCTAATAACCACACATTTCTGTAAGAGGAGTGATGGATTTGCATGTGTTGTTCATAAAAATGCACTATTTTTAGACGGAAAAGCAAATGTGTCTTGTAGTAAATGTGAAATGGAAAATTAGATTTAGATTTACTTTTTAAGATTTCGTTTTTTTTTCTATCTTTAAAGCTTTCCCCGCTGAATAATAAGTCATTTTACAGTACAGAAATGAGAGTTCTCACCAATAGGACTTCCAACGACGTGGGGATGGTTGGCCTGCTCTCATGTGACCATCCGATCCCCGACTGTTGCCAAGTTGGAAGCGTTTTAGTCTGCCTAACATGCAAAGCAAGTCTGCTACGACACGATCTGTTCACAGGATGTCTGCTGACACGCTGAGGTCAGAATATTAAGCCTGGTTGCGATATAATGCAGCACTGTCATTCTTGCGACACAAGGCCAGTTGCCCTTTTTCGATTCTATTGCGACGAACACATCTTCAATTGATTTGTATCTTTCCCTTCCCTTCCCTCTTAAAACTGGATTCATGCCATTAAATATTGCATGTAAGTCACTTGCTGTAACACCCTCCCAAAAAGGTATGTGGGAACATGTGTTTCCCATTGTTTTATGAGTTTCTTCATGTGTTCACTTGGAACATGCAGACTTTCACATTTACTCACTAATCGTCTTCTGATTACTTCCCCAGAAGGAGTGACACCAGTGGAGCGTAAATGTGTGTAACCAGCTAGTGTGTGGCTCCAGTGGTCATTTACCTGCATTCAAATGTTTAATATCTAACCTGATGAACTGTAATCTAAAGGTCCGGATTCACTTTTCGACCTACAATAAAATACTTTTGATTTCATAAAAGCTCACTTGAACCCCGCAGAATCATTTTCCCGTTTCTCAGCTGCTTTATTTTCAAGCACTTCCACGACGTGTTCAAAGTAAAACCGTTATCTTATCTATCTAGGGTTTTCACAAGTTCCTTTCCACAAGTCAAATTATGAATTATAAAAAAATGCCTATTTTCTGGCCTACACATCAAGATAAATGCTCCTTGCAGAAATGAGTTGAGTGTGTTTTTTCAATCTGCCCTGTTTTAGGATAAATGGTCTGACATTTTTAAGCCATGCTGTGATCTTTTTGCTGTCTCCCACAGAAGAGACCAGATTCAAACTACATGTATATCTCCATTCTTCCTGTTGGATAAGGTCCCTTCCAGAGAATGATGCATCAGAATTTCACAATATGGAAGGAGCTTCATGTCTCTTACTCTTGGTATGGTTTTTGATGAACATGGGTAGCTTTTAAGATGAACATTTTATCTTACGCATCAGTTGTTGCGTAGATTCCTGAAATCAGACAGACCTCGAGTTTATCTTGTGACCGATAAAATACACGGGGGCAGAGCGCGGATGAGTGAAATGAAACATGCTCTGGCTTAACTTAATCTGAAAACAGGATTGTTATAACGCAAGATTGTTATTAACAATTAAACTCCAAAAAAAAAAGAAATATCTTGCTTGTCTCATTCTTTTGCTGTCTACAGTGAATTTACTGCCATAATTCTGACATGAAAATGTTCGACCTTGAGGTCTGTCACAAACAAGAAGGATTTCATAGGGTCATCTTGAGGATGATGAGATCGAGATTATATTGCTAAAAGATAAAGTATGTGTCCAAAAGGCGAAAAAAAGAAGAGGCGAATGAGATGAAATAAAGCACGTGTCAGCGTAGCATGCAGAGGATACCTCAAACTGCACCGAACATCTTGAAACGGTTGTTGAGTTCCGCTGCAGTCAGCAGTCTTTCAGATGTCTGATGTGTGCAGCAGCACACGTTAATTGTTCAACAAAGCCAGAATGTGACAGCCTTCTCTTTAGAATGGGTGTCTGTGAGTAAAGTGTTAACATTCTGCCATTTTCAGAGAGAAAAATGATCCCGCCGCTCACAAGTTATGTGTAAGTCCCGCCGCTTTCTACGATGAATTCCACGGCAACTTTAAGCCAAAATAAATAGCTCGTGAGCTCCAGCGGCATGGGGAATGAAAGAACAAACTGTGCCAGCAGGAATCACCTCGTTGTTGCTGTAAGAGCATTAACGCAGGAATTAGTGATCATAAAAAAGTTCAATTGTGAGGCACGGTTCAAGAATTTGGCAGCTTGGTCAAGCTAATCTTTTTTTTTTTTTTTACCTTGAAGGAGCTGCATCATGCAGTTCCTAAATTGTGCACATAATTAAAGGGACTTATTTCACCCGTGGTTCACCTTGAGCCTTGAATGCGCAGTTGGACTCACAAATATTATTGCATATCATATCCTACGCTTCTGGAAGTGAATTTCATTTCATTTGGCTGCAGAGAAACATCACATTTACGATCTCCCGTCAGAAGTGCAATAATGTAACCGGTTCTTAAGTTCTCTCA